TTGATTAAAGCACCATCTAAAACAAAAAACAAACTGAATGAAGACACTTCATAGGTAAATTGCAAACAAAAAATGATGTGTGAGGTGCAGGCTTCAAACTGACATGCGAGAAGCATAATTTTATTTGGTGTATAAAGATCTGTCTATAAATGACATTTGTCCAAAGTACCAGGGTGGTGCACCAATTTGTCTGTATTATGTGCGATATATGCAATATAATTAGTTTGCATATATGTAAGAATAATTTGTGACTGTCTATCTCTTGTAGCTTTTGATCCAGGAAGTATGCCATTCCATCTATCCAATCATACATTGCAGCAGTCTGCAATCAACAACATCCAACAGTCTGTGTACCCTCTAGAAGCTAGCATAGCATTACCACAGTCAAATAACATGATGTCACAATCCAACCAAGGTATTGTAGCTATCCAGTCCACTCATGTCAGTACTGTTGCCGCTATGTCCACACAAGGTACTAATGTTGCAGGTCAGGTTGATGGTGTAGCTATGCCGTCTACGCTTGGCAGCCACTCAACACCTCGGTCTGTGCATGGAAATCCTGGAATTGGTGGATCATCACATGGTAGTATTTCAAAATCTACTCAGTCAACACACGGCCATGGTGGGTCCAGTATGATGACACAGTCGAGGCATGTCTCTGATGTCAACAGAATTCAATCACATGTAGCAAAGGAGAGTGGTCCATTATCGAAAACAGTTCGTGTTAACGGTACAAATAGTCAATCAACACCGAGTGGTAAGTACACGGCAATAGATAAACAATTAAAGTTTCATTCTCACTTTACAAATATGTAAACCATAAACAAAATCATAAAATGTGTTAGTCTTGACTAAAACATATTATATATTAAAAGTAGATATTCTGTATTTCTTGTACATTTCATTTTGAAAGTACTGGAGGGGCTTTTTCTTAGCGAACATATATACAATGTAGCTAACCTTCAATGACAAACAAAGCCATCTCTTTCTACAAATTCCTAATCACAACATTTGATAGTGTATATCTTGGTCAATGAATGGTACCTCACGGATTTGAAAAGTTGAAATGTAACACAGGCATGTACGTCTCAGTGATTATCTCTAGTTTTTGAGAAGATCTAACTTCAGACATCCCATTATTAACATATACAAAACCCATAACATAACATAAAATAAATAGGTGCCAAAATATACGCAGCTTCAAGACTAAAGTTGATAAAATTGTCTTAGTATGAGAAAGATTTGTAATTTTTGAAGGGTACCACGGTAAACTTATAGCATTAAACAAGTTTTGCCGTATAGCCCTATCAGTCGGTTTCCATGGGAGAATGAGAGTCAGATTGCCAGCTTGCACCGTATAGCCCTATCAGTCGGTTTCCATGGGAGAATGAGAGTCAGATTTCCAGCTTGCACCGTATAGCCCTATCAGTCGGTTTCCATGGGAGAATGAGAGTCAGATTTCCAGCTTGCACCGTATAGCCCTATCAGTCGGTTTCCATGGGAGAATGAGAGTCAGATTTCCAGCTTGCACAAATTATTTGATGCTTTCTCTAGTTCCAAGCATTCTGATGAGCTATCGAACTGCGAATCAACCCCCCCCCCCCACGCTGACAACATTGAAATGTTTTTACACCGTAGTACAGAGGTTTCTAGGGTAACAGTGGAACTCAAAACTTGTGTATTGCCTGTGGTGTCTCAAATCCTACATAATCAAGAGTTATTCTATACTAATACTGTAAAGGAGTTAATTATTCGCTGGGTTTTAATTTTGCGTATTTCACTGACTGGAAAATGTGCTAAATTAAAACCCAGTGAATATGTAAAATTGAGCATAAAACACATTATCTAAATGATAAAACCGTGAATATAAAACCCACTGAATATGCCTGAAATGATAAATAAGCAGAATTTAAACCCAGTGAAAATTAGTCATTTTACAGTATATTATAAAGTGTGCTCTCATCGTGTTTTACTTATTCTAGACATAGAAGAGATAGAGGGCGCTAATCTAATACAACATACTATCCTGGTTGTTTTGTTTCCACTGGCAGAACAGTATGTGTGTTTCATTTACACATTCATGACATACTCTATTCTATCCAATAGGTGATGATTCCTCATACGTAACCGTGTATCTCTCTGAAGTTCATTCTTATGGTCAAAGTGATACCTCCCCAGATTCGGGACAACGAGAACAACAAATAAAACCCGTAACAAACGAAGAGCAAGGTTTCCCAGAATTTGTCACTTACCCTCGAAGTGACAGCTCCCCAGAAATGGTCATACAGCGGACGCGACAGATAACTGATGAGGAACGCGGCTACTCAGTGAGCGAGGATGGGACAAGCTCGCATCAACCGGAATCTGACAACAAATGTATGTGCAAAACGTGCGGAGATGTGCATGATGCCAGCAAGCGTGTTGAAATGCTTGAAGGACATGTTGAAGGCTCATTTTCATTTGCTTGGTGTCTTGATCTATGTGTCAACCATGCCAGTATTAATAGTAACAATTTGATTAACCCAAATTATCGTATTCAGATCAACTGTACATGCATTGATTGCTCTCACATCAGGAAAGTACAAGAACTACTTCTTTCTAAAAACATGCGTGATAGCTTTAACGTTTATAAGAGGCATTGGGCAATGAAACGCCCTAGAAACACACAACAATGCTTGGATATGTGATCGGACTTGTATAACTAGTACATTTGTCAATGACGTTATGATACCGCGTGTTGAACGAGAAGAAGTATTTTCCCAGTCAAGGTTTTCGATTTTAGTAAATACTTAACTTTTTTTTAGTAAAAGACTACTTTTAACGTGTGTTTTACAAACTAAGAATTGTTGATATTTAGTTGTCCCTGTATGTAATGCATCTTCAAGTAATAATACTGATGTGTAAATATTGAACTTGAACCCTTAATTGAGTCACAGAGTATGGTAGCCTATGTGTGTACGTCATTTAAGTGTGCAATATATGGCATGGTAAATACAGCATTACAGTTGTCTTCTCTAAAACTTTTAGGTTTACACATAGTAGCCACTATTCTTGGAAATCAAAATAACTGCATGTACCGTATTTGCTCTATTAGTAGTGCATGGACTTAATTAAGTTACAGAGATGTTTCCATGGTCAAAATAAGTATTATTATGATGATTCAGTATACAAAAATTGTTGTCTTATAGGCAGTGTGATTATCAATGTACTTTTCATAGAACAAATGTGGTATATTTGTCATGACTTGTGAGCATTTGGCCAGAGACAACACTTCATTAACAGAGGAGCTAGATTGTACAACTATATGGATATGTGATGTTAAATTGACTGCAGTAGTGTTTGATAACTTATTCTAATCTACGTGACATGCTGAATATTAACACTATAGCTCTCAATTATAACCGCTCTTCACCAAGCAGACTTTCTTTATGAACTTTACTAAATCTCCATGAATGTTATTGATCAACGGCCTTATTTGCTATGTTTGAATTGCCGTTGTAGGCATTATTAAGGACATGTTCATTAGCATAATGCTATTGTCAGAGTTCAGTACCATGCATGCATGACATTTGTAGGATCTGGTTGTCAGTTTCTTTCAAAACATGTCAATTACCATTACTGTGTGTCTTTAACTATGTGTGCGCCAAGGTTAAGTCTAAAGTGTGTAATTTACATATGATCTGGATGAAACACTATATTTGTGTTAGAAACTACGAGGCAACTGCAATATATGATATTATTCATATAGAAATCCATTTCGTAAGTTGGGAGCCTTAGCTCTTCGGGGGAGAGGTCTTTCATGTTAGCTCGGAACGAGGCTTCTAGTTCCTATACTTGTGCATACAGCAAGAACAGCAAGCCACTTTCTGGGTTCAGTGGAAAAGCCTCTCCCACATAAAACTGTGAGGACTCTTGGCTCTCGTTTGTTGTTATATTGCCTAAAAATGTATATACGGTAGCATCTCAAACAAGCTAAGGAGGGATGAATTTTTTTTTTCATTCATTTCTTATTTCAGTATATTGTTGATTTCAATAATTTTTTCTTGTTTTTTACTTCAGAAATTGCTAAAAGTAAACTTTCAAAGCCATATTTTAGTTAATTTTATTCCACTGTAAGATGCATGTAATGTAGTAACATACGGTGCAGTTTTTATAAACCACTGTAAGATGCATGTAATGTAGTAAGATACGGTGCAGTTTTTATAAACCAGTTACAGGATTTATTACACAAGTCTTAATTTCTTAGAAGCTTTGAAAAAGTGTAAAATATTAAATATATTTTGACGAGGACTTGAAAATGTCTGGAAAAAGAAATAGTCATTAAAATTGTATCTATGACTAATTTGTGCTAATTGTCAGACTTGATTATGAACTTTCAGTATCAACTTCAACTTTGAATAATGAGTGTATCTTGATTGCTTTTTCAAAGTGATTTTTGGGCAAGGCTTGGAAAATTATGGGTAAAGTATGACATGATATCCACTGTTGTCAGAAATTGAGAAAATGATTCTATTTATAATTTCAAAAGTTAAACTTCAAATTGACTGAACGTTTAGAAAGTCCCATACATGTACCAGTGCCAAACATGCATATAAAATAGTTGTCATAGCTTAAGGTAGCGAGAAGGGAAATTTTCACTTTTTTCTTGATTTTTCAAAAATATGAGAAAATAATCACAAAAGATAAAATATTTTTGAGATATAGTCTTGCCACATTAGCATTATGCTCACGTTGATACAAACCTATATCAGAATTAGTTGTGATACAAACCTATATCAGAATTAGTCGTGATACAAACCTATATCAGAATTAGTCGTGATACAAACCTATATCAGAATTAGTCGTGATACAAACCTATATCAGAATTAGTCGTGATATAAACCTATAGCAGAATTAGTTGTGATATAAACCTATATTAGAATTAGTCATGATATAAACCTATATCAGAATTAGTCATGATATAAACCTATATTAGAATTAGTTACCATATAAACCTATATCAGAATTAGTTACCATATAAACCTATATCAGAATTAGTCATGATATAAACCTATATCAGAATTAGTTGTGATATAAACCTATATCAGAATTAGTTGTGATATAAACCTATATTAGAATTAGTCATGATATAAACCTATATTAGAATTAGTTGTGATATAAACCTATATTAGAATTAGTTGTGATATAAACCTATATCAGAATTAGTTGTGATATAAACCTATATTAGAATTAGTTGTGATATAAACCTATATCAGAATTAGTCATGATATAAACCTATATCAGAATTAGTCGTGATATAAACCTACATT